AATGAATTTCAATAAATACCAGTTCGTAACCTTTAGCAAACAACTCGGCCAGTAGAGCTTCTCTATCATATTTTTGTGATTTAATACCAATGCGACTTTCATTTCTGAGATTATTGATCGTGTTATATATAATACTTCTCCAGGCATAATTATTATTACTGGCCTGCTATTATATCCCTTTTCTCTCTATTGAAAATCATTCATCTGTCATAGCCCGGTATATTCCCAATAGTAATAAGAATTCGATAAATCTTGGTGGGTCATTTATAGTAAATGGTAGATACAGAAGTTTTATTTATTAGTTTTAGAACATAACACATTTAAAAAAATAAGGTTATATGTATATACTTTTACTTTGAAGTTAAAGTTTATACTGACCTGTCTAATGGAATATTTTTATAATAAAAAGAGTCTAGTCACAAAAATACTCAAATTCATTTTATATTAAGGTACTAGAAAAAGATTCAATAACGTAAATTTGTCCTTACCGTCAATATCTTTAAAATCCTTAGAAGTAAATATGATTTATTAAAAGTATGTTATGAATATGGTATTTATGAATTATATAATTTCGATAGTAATGAATTACTTATTAATTTAATCATTTTGTTCATCAAAATGCTATTTGCCACTTTCTCAAAATCTATTCGCAGTCTTCATATAGAGAAAAATAAAACGGAAGAAAATTAATATACGTATTAGTAATTTAATATATTGAATTACGACATATCTTCTTGTTGGCTACATATTTATATATGTTTTTGAATAATATTTTCGTTTCAAAATATTTTGTTATTGGCATTCAAATGTTATATTAAGTATTCATGCAAAGATTTATTGGTATTTCTTTAACATTTATTACCATGGAGTACATTCTTTATGAAATGTTAAAATTTATTACTTTTGAAAGATTTTCTGTGCGAAATGTCGAAGGACAAATGTGAATGTCAATATCCAAATTTCATGTAGGCAGGTGGTATTTCATGCAAAACCAATTAAAAGTAATGATACAGTCACATGCAACAGGATCGAATTGTATTTTTTTTTTTTGTAAGATATTACCTATACTGGGCAAAATTACTTGATTCATTTAGGGTCTTTCTGAATTAAATAAAGGAATATAATTTTATTTTGGATTAATATTGTTGCTTAGGAACAATACAACAATATTATTAATATTATTCCGAATTTGATATATTTTTATAAATACCAACTTCATATAATTTTTCAAAATTTTAGTTTTTTGATCTATGCATCATTTGTTAGGCGTACTTATCTTTATATGTAAACATTTGTAAACACTTCTCTAATACAATTCCAATTTAAATAAATAATTTACAAATCAAATAAAAAAAACATTCGAACGGTACAGAAAGGCAAGTCCATGAAGTGCAAAAAGTGCAACTTTGAAGTTGCAAATAATCTTTGAATCAATGCACAATGTTCTAGTTATATGAATTCTCTCACCAAATATTTAGTTTCGTACCAGTTTTGGTCACTTTTAACTCATATGCTGTTCTCCATTTTTATTTTGCATTATATCTTAAGCAAATTGTCCGTGACCAAATAATAAGAATTTTTGTCTTGCTACCCAAAGTTCCAGGGTATATACCAACCACGGGCAGTCTGATATTAAGTAGTAAAATTAAAAGACTTTGATCAATATACCAAATATAATATGAACAATATATCAAATATGAATATGCCAATAGTTAGCTTGCATTATAGAAACAATCGTTCATAAGATCCTTAAGTCCTGCTTCCTGCTCAAAAATAAAATCTATATATGATATATATATATATATATATGTCTATACCTATATTATGCAAGCATGCATAAAATTTTCAAGCATCTAGATTGAAAGAAACTTTAGTCTGAAAATTCCAATTTGGTTTACAAACTACTATCAGATTCAGCGTATTTCTTTAGAAAACAAAAAAATATTTTGCATACTATATGCTTCAACTTATCGGAAAAGCAGAAATCGACGTACAATCTGTAGTAGAATATTTTGTATCGTATTCGCTGCAGATAAGTGTTCAATTCGAAAGTATTAAATTTCGACTTCAATCAGATATTTTACTTTTAGGACATTGTGTTTCTTCATCGTATAATATGAAAATTCTTTTCTTTGTTATATATATATATATATATATATATATAAACACTTGTGGTTTCATATATAAATACAGTACCAGTTATAAAGCGCATGTTTGAATAATTCGAGACTGCATAAAATAGGATGCGAATACGAATCCCAAAGTGCTTAAATCAGCAGCATCTCCTTCTGGAAATTGATAAATTATTCGTAGATTTTGGTACTTCATTTGCAACTCAGTTAAAACTGATTATTTCATCAAACCAGGAATACATTACTATAGTTTCAGTACATTTCATATTTTATTTCCGCTTTTAAATGATCCTGCAATTGCATACTATATAAATTTCCTAAATAATTTATTAGTTTGGCGAACATTATTCAGCTAGCACATATTTTGACGTAGATGTATTTTATTATAATTAATTATGATTATACAATCATTTGGTACATACCCATTATTGTCCACTTGATTAAGGACTAAACGATCATTAATCACAACAAATGTTGCCCAGATATTAGACCGTAATTATGCACTGCAACAGGTGGTCAAATGACATCAATCAGGCGCATGATATATGAATCGCATAAGTATACTTCGGCTATACAAAACTTTTCGTGTTTTTACTTTATCATTATAAAACCTGCAGATTTTTGTCAGAAATGGCTGATGAATCTATTTATGAAATAATCAGTTTCCATACCGCTGGTAGTGCCATGAAACTATGCAGTATTTTTTCCACTTTCTCATCTTAGTTATGGAAATTATTTCAAGTTTGTTTATGAGAAAAGCCAAAGAAACGGCGCATTTTTTATGAACTGGAAATGCGTAACATATTTATTCAGATGAAAACATGGGCGAGCAAAAACTATTGGGAAGTCTATAAAACGAAATAACCTTCAATTGAGCTCAGAAAAAATAACAGCTCATATTGTGGTCCTTCATATGGATGTTTTTGAATTTCCTTGTTCCCAAGGGCTCAAATGCTTCCAAATTTATAAAAAACAATTCTTTGAAAGTTTTACTTGTTATTAACTTTAAGATATTCTGCACTCCAAGCAAAGTTTCTTGGTTCTTTTTGCTAAGTAATACATAGTTTATGAAATATATCAATTTTTTGTTGTAATTTTTTTATTTATGACCAAAATAAGCAAATACAGTATTATATTTATATATATATATATATATTTTATATATATATATATATACATATTAATTAATCAATCAATAAATCTATATTTAATTCATCAATTGGCTTGCAGAATTACTGAAAATTCACACCACGGTATATCCTTTCTTCTGGCATTTACTTTCAACCATAAACTCAGCAGATTTTGCAGTATATTTAAACTTTAATTTATATTAAATCTTTATTTCGGGCAAATTAACATCAATTTGACAACATTGCATGACGTTTATACTCAAGGATTTACTAATATAAATTTCATTACTACCTCGATAAAATCTACTGAATATTAAATGTGATTCACTGGATTATTTCCTATTTCTGGCAAATGCAAATTTTATAATTTGTATTATAAACGATGAGTTCTGATGTACTCGTTGTTTAGGTAAATTTGTATGTTGACCAATAGACAAAAATTTTGTTTTGGTGTTACAAAGGACGTCTTGATCAAGTTGTTGAGGTTTCTTTCTAAATTGCTAGCAAATGTAAATATTCAATTATGAAACAAATAAAAGATATTATATTGTCATATTATATTAGATGTAATATTAACCAGTTAACTGTGGCGCTTACTTCGAACAAAGTTGTCTCATCCAAATCAAACTCATGACGAGTATGTTCGTGAATCACAGTAAGTTGCGCTTGAAGGTATCGGATAAAAAATATAGGTTTATTTTACAAAATTATAAAATTTTATTACATTTTACTTCAAAATTTACTTTAAAAATGGATTAAATACAACAAAATTATAGGGTAGACCGGGTACCGTTGTGCTACTTTTATTTTGATCAGCAGTAATTGTGTTAATTCACCAGTTAGCTTGGTGAAAAGTGAATTAAATGGTAATTTTAACATTTGTCTAAGTGGAAATACTGAAATACTGTCCTTAAATATGATCGATTATTCACAAAAAAACGATATAAATAGCTATTAATACCAAAATGAATTTTAACTTCTTTTGTTGTCAGAACACTGACTCGATGCAATTATGGAAACTTGTTCGAACAAGCATACTTTATCTTTCTCCCTTTTGATCTCTATTTCAAAATCAATATGCTTATGTTATGATAATATGAAATATTATTTAAATAGCTAAATCTTAATTCATTGACTTAAGTATATCATTTCAACTTTCTATGAGTTCATGCAACTTTCTTTAAGGTAAAATAAAACTTGCAACTACTCACTTCATACAGTCATAGCCTTAAAATATTCAACTTGAAATAACAACTTGATATTTTAGAATATCTTGATCTTCAAAAATTTTAATTAAAATAGCAAATGTTCACTGTTTTATACGCATGACAAATATACTCATAAATACACAAAATTTGGTCACTTCTCCATGGCGAGTAAGTCAAGCACAGTTAACTGGTTAATGAATTAATTACATTGTACATTTTTAATTATTAAATTACTTAAAATTTGTCATTGGATTTGCTCACCTGCCGTTCAAAAGCACAATATCATCTTGTGTTTTACTTAATAGAACATAACAATATCCAATCAACATGGTAATTCTTCTTCGGCACGAAATGATTAAGCATCTCTTGATTTAAAACACTCTTGGAGCTGCCATTTCCTCACATAACAGCACAACGAGCAAATCATCTGCTCTGTTCCAATTAATTTCAATCGGAGAGTCTTTTATTGTATTAAATTGCGGGTTCTCTTGACAATTTCATATAATAATAATTAATTAATTTGATTTCAGATGGCCTTTCTGCAAAACAGAAGCGTGTCGCTTGTGGACATGTATATAGATAACAGCGAACCGTCGGAGAATGTCGGCCAAATACATTTCTCGCTCGAATACGACTTCCAAAACACAACGCTGGTATTGAGAATATTGCAGGTAATTTAATAAATGGTAGAAATAAATGGAAAAATGTTCTATATAGAGTTGTATCGATGATGACTATCCAGGCTCTTGGCATGATACGAAACCGGGGCTAAATTTTAGATCGAACGTTTATATCCTTTTGAAACTCTGTGCTCTAGATATTTCTTTTAATTACTAAACTGGATTTTCTTTGTGAACAATCTATCTTTATATGAAAGATAAAAATAAAAATGACAATGACAGACAGATACAGTTTTTATTATATAGATCATACTACAATCAGTTTAATTTTTTGAAAACACCCAATTTCTTTTATTAAAACATTTATTACAACATATAACGTTTAATATATATAAAAATTGAATCACAATGCACATTAAAACTCATAGTGAAGATTTGTTTCGCGATTTTTTTTTAAACTCTGTTTTATTCAGCAATCAGAAATACATAAGAATTCCTATAAGCTAAATTGACAATATTTGAGTGTGATGTTGATATTGCTGAGTCCAATGAGATCTTCTTCGTTTAACAATTAAAAAGATAATGATATAATTAATTTTATTCATTAATTACGTTTTAAAGTTTCACGATTTTGAATTCATCAATAAATTAATAAATTTAACTAGTTGTGAATGGCATCTTGCTGGCAAATTGCTAAAACTTTCCTATCGTAGTTTAACATTTTTATCATTAATTTTTTTTTGCTGCGTCACAGTCTAACGATTAAACATTATAAATCTTGATACGGAATTAATAGAGATATCAACAAAATTTGTACTGATTATTAATATCTCTATAAATTATCTGATAATTTGCTTTGCATACGTCTGATCATTTTTAAATGCCAAATACGAATCAAATTTTTTTGAATCATTCAAATCGGTTGATCTGTGCTCTAGAAATTCTGCATAATAGATTGCATCCACACATACATACATACATATTACATACGTACATACACACACACTTACGAACACAACAATTTAACTAAGGTGTGCCAAAATGTTCAGAAGTTTTTGAAACATGATGATATATAAACATTTTTTTTCGATTTTTTGCGATTGTTATATCTTTTTCGAGGATTTCAAACATCATTTTTATGGACTCATTTTAAACTATTTCGCGGAATTAAATTTTCATTTGTGATTTAATTATGCTTGCGCAATATTTGTTTTTACATTAAACGTAGAAAATGGTAATGGATTATTTCGTTTAACCGTTTGATGTTAATTATTTTTAAAGGATTAATATTATGACATGTTGTATATTCATACTTAATGCGACTAATGAGTTAATATTTAATGCGTTTTTACGAAACATATATGGTCTAGTTTTCAAATTACCATGGCGAATGGTCTGAAAAATCTAGAAATTCTTCTCGAATCCCTGCATTTAAATTGATATCATATATTTTATAATGGTAATTTTATCCAGTTAAAACTATTTTTGTTTGAAAATTGATGTAAAATTTATTTATGTTTTCTTTCAATAATAAAAATGTCAACTTCTGTAAAAAATTACTATAATGAATAATTCATTATTACTATTATGTTGTCTCATGCTGTATATATACTCGTAATATATACTGTTTGAAACATAACTTTACTATATATGTTCTTGAAATAAATATACAACATTCAATAAAATGTATTTGACGGTCATATCTTTATATTTACTATCATTAAAATCTAAAAAAACAATAATACTGTTTTTTTTTAATCTAATATAATAATTATAATTTTATTAGTTAAAGTCTTGAGGAGAGAATTATTATAAAAATATATTTCTAATTAATTTTATTCATTAATTACGTTTTGAAGCTTATTTTGCTCATACATTAATTTTCAGATATTTTGTAGAAACGTATATTTCAACATGAGTTGCATATTTTAATAAAATTAATTTTATGAAAAAACCAAGCACATAAGTTAAATTTAGTTGCAACTGGAATAACGTATAATATTCGCCAGTTATAAATAGTTCAGAGGGTAGTGCTCTCAGTAAAAAAATGTTTTATAGAGTTGAATATATGCACATGATTAATGCAAATGTGCATTATATATATAACTATATATATATATATATATATATATATATATATATATATACTATACATACATACATACATACATACATACATGCAAACTTTTTAATTTAACATGATAAAGTGTGTAAATTATATGACAACGCTGCATGATTATTCAAATTCATATGGGAGGTACAATTTTTTTACAATCGCTCTGTTTACAATTGATAACATGCTTTGAGTTTTACATTATTTCTTAATAAGGTTTTAACCATTTTATATTTCTATAAAAATACGTGTCTTTTAGATGATTTTATAAAAACTATGTATATAATTATAGTAAATATCATTATTCCTAGCAGGATTCCTACTTATATTTTATTAGTTTTTGTAGATAAAAAACGTGTTTCAACATTAAACTGAATTAAATTGCATACTAACTAAAAAAATGTAATATAACGCTAATATAATGTATACTGTATATATAATGTTAACTTTGTAATATTAAACAATATGGTTTACATTATCGTTTCAACTCCATAAATCTATGGGGCACAATTTTACTTTTGGCATACCTTAGAAAAATGTGTGGATACAATTTTTCATCCACGATTTCGGGCGCACAAAACAACCGATTCGAATTATCCAAAAACATTCGACTCCTATTGATTAGAGGGCATGCTGATTAGTTTTTGGTTCAAATACAGGGCAAAAAGTGCCAAAAACGGTAATTTTTGAGAGAACGGAGTATCCGATTTGAATGATTCAAAGAACATGTTAATTGTATTGACGATATAAGGAATTTGTGAAATTTTTGGTAAGGCAGGTCTAGCGGTTTCATAGATACAGAGGAAAAAGTGAAAAAAATTGGTGTTTGGCGGTGAGAAATTATCATTAGTCATATGCACATCAAATTATAAGATATTTGATAAAATTTTCAAAAATGAGTACTGATTTTGTTACAAGTTTGTTGGGTTTCAACAAGATTGTTAATTCTTGAAGTTCACTTATACGGTTCAAGCTAATTACAAAATTTCCAGAATTTTTTTTTTTCAAAAATATACAAAGCTTTATACTTAAAATATGAAATTTAAACTTACAAACCAGTTTGAAAATGTAAATATTTCAAATTCGTTATTCTAGTCGTAAGCAATATATTCTCAGATGGATTTATTCAGCACTTATTGCTAATATAAACTTTCTCAAGTGTTTTGGGCAATAATAAGGTTGTCACTGTATATTTTATGAACGATAAAATATGTAGTGATTATAATTATTTATTTGAAAATGTTTAAAACAATTGTTATCAATCATTGATCAATATTTATTGATTACTGATTTTTTTCCTCGAATATTATTAATTCTGGTACGGGAAGTTCCAGCAATTTTTCTTAAGGCACAATGCCTTGCACCGCTAGTTACAAACATCTTCATTTGACTTCAACATAACTGTATCCGTAGTATATTGATCACAGAATCAGCCATTATTCTTTGATTACATTGCAACGAGCAAATAAATTGAATTTACTTGTATAACTGAAATGTTGAATAATTCATGTGGACATTTTTTTCTTTTATTCAGGGCAAAGAGCTACCTGCAAAAGATCTTTCCGGTACGTCGGACCCGTACGTCAGAGTCACTCTATTGCCTGACAAAAAACACAGGCTGGAAACTAAAATAAAACGTCGGACGCTCAACCCTAGATGGAACGAAACTTTCTACTTTGAAGGTTTTCCGATACAGAAGTTGCAGTCTAGGGTAAGAATGCTCTTGTCATTTCGAAACAAACTTTATATATAACTTACTGTGCAAAGTGCCTCTACGTGAACATGATCATACTTGTCGGCATACACTTAAGTTTGGATATGATGATTGATTTTATAAGAATGATAGAATTATTCATACGTTTCTGTATGATAATTCCAGATAAAATATTTTTGAGTAGATCAAATTGTTTAATGAACTTTGATCATTATGCATGGGATTTTTTTTTATTTCTCATTATTATTTATAAAATTATCCGCTTGCAATTATATGAGCAGAATCGACCTCCATTCTAACGATTTAGTCAGTCAAGTGTACTCGGAAGGGCTACTGATCTCATTTAGTGATTTTCATATGATTTTTCCTTTCTTAGCATTTGTATTATTTTCCTTCTTGTTTTTGGTTTTTATTATACTCTTAATAGATTCTCCGTTAGGATTATCTATTATAATCAAATTATAATGTGACTCTTTTTTTCTCAATCTCTGCTCATTGTTCTATCTAATAGGTTGCAGAATGATTGGCCAATTCAGCAGTAAAATAAACCAATGATATGGCCACGTTATATTACCCTGCTTTCTTCATACAAAATGGTAGTAAAAAGTGTCAAAATGCTATGTATTTTCTCTGTGATCAGGCGTTTATTACATTAAATCTAAGTTCCCTCATCTGTTAAGGCACATCAGAAAGATGTATTAATAAGAACATCCTTTTTTGATGATTGACTTCTCTAGGATAGGTTTTATATTAGGTTGTCAAATATCTCCCTTCCGCTTTTTTGCTCTTTATTCAAAAGGCGGAAGGGAGATATTTGACAACCTAATATCTAAAACTCCTGACTGCACAGCAAATACACTGCATTTTTTACCTGACGTCTGACTGCATAGATGTTGCTAGTATTTAGCACTATCGAGTGTTTAATACTATTGACAATTTAGTACTATGACAGTTTTTAGTGCCATTTTATATGAAAAATACAGCATAACATAGCTGTATGTGCGTCACGGAATGTATTAAAACTCTCCTTCGATAACTCAGGTTGATGGGTAATTTAACCCTTGTAGCCGTGGACTGTATTAAACACTGATTTGTTGGTATACTATTGATTTGTCACTATTTTTTTAAGTAAACGATTAGTTCCATCAAATTAGTCCCCCTCTACTAGGGGTAGCAACCGTTTCGGGTAAAAGCTCAATGCCATGAAGATTGTCGCCTTCTTGGCCATTATAATAAAATGAAAATACGTCCGAACAAGAGCATAACCATAACATTGATCTTTTTTACCGCAGAATTGGAACATACATTAAAATAAAAATATTAATACTAGTCTATAAAACATAATTTATTTTCAATAAGCAATTAATATGATGTGTTTATTATCCAAAACAAAAAACGTTAAACACTGCAATTAAAATGTGTATACAGCAAAACGAATGTTCAATCGATTTCCTTTGTCGAATTCCATTAATATTCGCTTTCTATAAATATATAATAAAATGTTTGTTGTTAATTGTAAATGTAATAAAACAAATTGTTTACATAAGCGTTGAAAAAATATTTGTTCGTAGCAATGGAATTGAATTAAATTTATTCAATTGTATTTTACAGGTTCTGCATTTACACGTTTTTGATTACGACAGATTCTCGAGAGATGATTCCATAGGAGAAGTATTCTTGCCTTTGTGCCAGGTAAGTGATTCAATGTCGAGTAGCGGAAAATAATATGGTATCTACAAAATTATGTGCATGTATTTTCTCATATGTGTATATCAAAAGTATTATGAGTGGATGGAATATTAAATTTGAAACATGAACACGCAACACACTTTTTGGACTATTCATTAAATATTCCAAATTTTTAAATATATTTTACCTATTTTTCAAGTTATCCTATCTTTTAATTTTGTTTAACAATAACACATGTTCACATACTATTTTTTCATAGATCTTACTTCAGATAACATGAATATACATATTTGATTAAGTATAGAATATATTACACTTACGATGTAATAAACCGAGACACAAAACGTTTGTGAAATTTAAAATTTTCAATAAATAACGCAAAACGAGTGTTGTATGTTTATATTTCTAATTTAATATGTATATAAATGTGAAAAACTATCTATTATTTTCAAATAAATACCAACATTTTATTATACGTTTTTCGTATTGTATACCGTTTGTTATATGGTTTCCCACCACATTAAGGGTAACTTAAATGCCTCTTTTACAGAGATCTCATTTAAAAACTGTAATAAACGGTTTTCACAATCTTCCTTAAATTTGCTATACTGAAGAAATTTCCCATTGTAAGTAAACGATAGTAGTATCTGCTTTTTCCTTGTTAGTCTGTATGGGGGGATACATTAAAACTTTTTAACCAAGCGCCAAGGAAGTTTCTAGTAACTTACTATAGTGAGGTGTCACAACACCTTTACTGTTATCCAATTCAGGCTGTTTCTGATCAGTAAGAGCCGGCATTAAACGATATAGTAGTTGACAATAGAGACCAGAATTTAGCATTTTTTATTTGCATGCAAATTTTTCTCTTTCAGTCCTACCAAGTTTTTGTTCCAAGCATCTTTCTATCATTCAATAATCGAAAGAACACATGGATAAAAACTAATCAATATGTAATTTTGAATTGAATTTAACGTTAATACAATTTCTATCAATTTTAGGTGGATTTCAGTGAAAAACCGTCGTTTTGGAAGGCGCTTAAGCCTCCCGCAAAAGATAAATGTGGTGAATTACTTTGTTCTCTGTGCTATCATCCCAGTAACAGCATACTGACGTTGGGTCTACTCAAAGCGCGAAACCTGAAAGCCAAGGATATTAATGGCAAATCAGGTAAATATATTTACCTTCGGCTACATTACGCAGAATTTGATAATAGAAAACCTTTTATTATTTAGGAAACTCGTTCATATTTAAGTAGGGTTCTATTCTAGGCACCGTCTGTCTGCTTAATTTCAGTGGATGTGTATTTCAATTCAATGTTTTTAATTAGAAGTTCTATAGACATTATCAACTTTCCGAGAGAGTTTATGTTTTATCCAGAAAATTCGACTCGCATTCTCTACATTTGAAGTCATTCTGAATCATTTAATTTAAAATAGGAAATTGTATGTGTGTGTGAATATATTCTAAAAAAAATATAAGCTAGAATTTCCACTAACTGATTAGGATTTTGTAAAGATTTTTGTTTGAAACGTATACTGAGGCTTAATATTTTTTTCAAATCAACATAAAGTGTATAGTGTAAATGTAAGATTAATTCAATATTTTGGTTTTTACAATGATATTTTTCTCGAAAAATTTTATACCTCGACTATCAATTTAAACTAACCAACAATTACTCAGTTACTTCATGTTCAATAAGAATATTCAAATCGAAACTGTTCTTAGGCAAAGTCATAATAAATGCACAATTGTCTGTATGAACAATTTCTACGATTTTTATTTACTATTCACATATAGATATTATATGCGGATTATTGGCTTATTGAATTCGTAAAAAATTGGCTTGTTTAATTCATTATTATTATGATTTGGAATATTTACAAAATCATAAAAAATTAAATGTTTGTATAAAATTTGCAACAAATCGTGAAAAACTGGGACAACGCTTTAATTATTTTGTACATTATTAAAAATACGTTATATTTCATTGAAAATTTTCTGAATCACCCAGTAGCGGTATTATAAGATTTCTATTTATTTTTAGTTTCATTTGTGGAATATATTATTTGAAATTCTTTTAATTTAAGTATACATACTCCTGCATTTTTGAACCTGTATTGTGTAACCTTTGCTATCAACGGTTCCGGAAGCGCTCTAATGACATATAAATTAATTTTGCCGGATTTCGTCACGATTAACATTTTTTGCACAGGCAGCATTAGTACCCAAATACCATTAGGTTCACAAAACTCCATATATACATTCTTGATGAATATAAGTAAAAACCCCACATCAGCAAATTTGCGAATTGGATCTGACTATGTTTAATATTCTTGTTGCGATGCTGTTTTCCGTATCTCATCTTATATTGACTCACTGTACCACGTAATGCTCTTTTCACGCTTTCACATAATAATCGAAACTTAAGTAATTATATGTATATATATATATATATATATATATATATATATATAGATGCTGGAAACTATAAAATTAAGTAAAACTTCGGTTATCAAAAATGAAATAGAATTATGTTCAACTAATAAATCTTTTGCTAAGCCTTTTGCTCATTGTATAAGCTTCGTAGTTGTTTTTGAATTATTTGTATTTTAAGATCTTTATAATTTATTTTTTTATTTGTTTGAGAATATAAAAATTCTTTTTTTTATGTTGATGGTATTCTATGTATTTCATTGTATTTGTAATTTTTCTAACATTGGTTAATCTTATTGAAATTAATATTTTTAGTGGATTATTTCATAAATTCTCAAAAAGTTGTTTTATTTTTATATTATTTTCTTTAATTATCTATTGAAGAAGCGACAAATTAAGACTTTAAATTTATAAGGATGTTTATTTAAATTTATTTTGATAAAACTGGATGGATATCTATTAAAAACCTTGCCAAAACAATGCCAAGGTCGAATGTGTGCTGTCTTATGATAATTATATTAAATCTAACGACTTCAATACAGATTTTCAAAGAATTTCCAATTTTAGTTGATATATGTATTTTCTAGTAAATATTAACTGCCAAAACCTGTAAGAATAAAATAAAATCAAGATAGAATCATGTTGGTGAAAAATAATATAATTTTGTTCTTTTCACTAGTATGGTGTTGAAGCGAAGAGTATTTTTATCAAACTTTTTGTGTTTTGTGTTTAAAAAAATTGAGCGAGATTTTTAATTTTATTGTATTTCATTCTTATACTATCTATTATAATGTCCTATCACAAACCTGAGCAAAATGCTTTAGCCGGTATCGTGTTATTTTAGGTTTTTTTTCGAAATTTTCCAATATTAAATTATCAATTTTATAATTTTACAATTCTGAATAAATGTGCCAATTTTGTATGAAACTTGCCAACAAACTCTAGTACATTTTTCTAAAGAAAGGTTTTACCAAAACGTAAGTTTTAATTTCATAGTTTAACAAATCGCCTTAATTCTTGAAAACTTGGGCAATTATGGTATTTTTCTTTACTGTGGTCCTGGAAATGTTATTCACTGTTACAGTTCCCAAGTTTAAACTAACAAAATAAATAAAAATGAACTACAATAATCGAAAATGGGTTGTAATTTCACCAAAGCTTTGGATTGCAAATCAAAGGTCATAATTTCTAAACAATGTGAGATTTTTTTTCGACAATTAAGTCAATATACTATCACTCCCCTTCTATATATATATATATATATTCACTCCATTTGTTTACATTATAGTAATATCCATCATGTCGATACTAAAGATTTGTTTAAAATATTTCTGTATGTTTCACATGTTTTAGCACTGTGTCAAGCTTTGCATGTGATAGTTGATGTTTTTGTATTTTCAAAAATTAACTGAAACTTAAATAAAGTATTAGAGAATGTGTAGTATATAAGTAATTGTTTTGAAATTACACTGAAGATGAGGCATACCATGGTCTGAAAGGGAGTCGAAAGGGTTAATGTTACATTTACACTATACAATTTATGTTGATTTGAAAAAAAATATTAAGCCATATACTGAATACGTTTCAAACAGAAGTTACAGAAATAGTCTGTAATTACCAAATAAAGTGTGTGTTAAAAATGTGAGTGTTGTATTGTTCATACTTAACATTTAATATATATATATATATATATATATATATATATATTTGTCTGTGTGTGTATATTTATGCAATGCGCATTATTAGTATAATAAAACTATAAGTTTATGAACAAAGTACAAACTCTTTCAAACTTTTATGCATTATGATAGTGCATCCATAAAACCCTAATCTCCTCGAACCTATATATTTTAGCATATGTGTTTTGAATTTCAGATCCGTACGTAAAAGTATGGCTGCAGTTCTCCGACAAACGCGTCGAGAAACGTAAAACAGCTATCTTCAAATGCACCCTTAATCCAGTGTTCAACGATTCGTTCAGCTTCAACGTGCCGTGGGAGAAGATTCGCGAATGCTCCCTCGATGTCATGGTCATGGACTTCGACAATATTGGACGGAACGAACTGATAGGGAGGATATTGTTAGCAGGTAACAATACAGGGATATTAGATTTCGATGATATTGCTTTAATCCTCGAAAATTGACACTTATTTCTGGCTTATGCTCAGAAACACATTTTTATATTAGGTTGTCAAATATCTCCCTTCCGCTTTTTTGTTCTTGGTTTATAATACAAAAAGGCGGAAGGGAGATATTTGACAACCTATTATCTTTGATTTTTTCTGTGATTCTATATATAGTGCAGTAAACGAAGACAAAAAAAAAGGTATAACCTCTGAATTTTTTTTACTGTGCTCCGATTTTGGTATTAGGTTCATCTTACCCTCAAGTTCACAAGTGAAAATAATTTGGACGCCGCCACCACCCCCCGGAGAGATGACACCCCTTCTCAGTTGTGTAATTTTATTTTTCCAAAATAACGTCAGATATCGATAGGATATCTAATTATAAGAAAACAATGTCTTTTAAAGTTTTTCAAAAAAACTAATACTTTTCAAGTTACTGGCCACTAAAAATTCATATATTTTTGGCGTTTACTTTTTTGCAAATATCTCCTAAAATATACATTTTAACCAAAATCATGTAATGAACAAAATAATGTCAATAAAAATCTTGATAAAGTGGTGTTTTGGGGTAAGAAAAAACTAATTGCAAAATTTTATGCAAATTGGAGCACAGTAAAAAAAATTCAGACCCAGAACGCTCCATTAACTGGAGTAATAATTATGCCTTATCAACTTGCACTAATTAGTTGAAACGCTATCGATTTTCATGTGATATTCAGTAAATTGACTTATTGAGTTATTATTATAATTATTAGGCTATAGCATTTATTTTTATTTAACGAGTTTACTGTGATTAACATATATACTGGTGGAGAAGTGGAAAAGTTTTCATTGACGAGTAAACTCGTCTTTATAAAATCTCCGCAAACTATTTGATAATCTGATGTGCACATGTATAATGATCACTTTTCACTGCCAAATGGCATTTTTTCTTTTACCATTTTTATTGGTTTTCCGAAGCCGTCGGGCTTGCCTTCCCAAAAATCAATTAATCAATTTTTCAGTCCAATATAAGTAAAATGTTTTTTGAATTATTCTAATCGGACGCTCCATTCTTTCAAAAAATTATGGCACTTTCTGCCTCGTATCTTCGAAACGTCTGCTGGATCTGCCTTTGCTAAAAACTAATGAGCACGTTTCCTCGTCAATACGAATTCAATGGTTTTTTTTTTTAATTATTCAATTCGGTTGATTCGTGCTCATTTACCATTACGATTAACTAATCAAGCTGTATTTTATTTTATATATTAGTAATAATAGTTATGACAGATTTGATCTATTTCTACACTTTAAACGAAGAACAACTCTCCAGCTGAACTGGTTTTATATTGCTGTAATGAAATCTCAGAACAAAAATTTCTATTTCGAGAATCCTAGTTCGTAAAGTCAAGTTGATCAAGAGTTGTACACTTGATATTTTTCTCAAGTATTTTTTAGGCAATATATTTTAATTTTTATATATGCCTACGCGTATTTAAATAGGCAAGAATAATCTAAAGGCTTTAAAGTTTTATATTTTAGTACTTTAGTATTTCTTTGTCATAAAACGTGAACGTGTACAACCCAGTGCATTTACGTCGTAGATATAATTACGTTTCACAAACTATCCGAGTATAAATTCCATTTATTCTTACTTTAATTAAAACGCTTTCCTTTCATTAATTCAAGAACTGTAATATTTCGATACGCGTCGTAATTTATTTCATAGACTCTTCTCACACAAACCAATCGACGGTAAGTGAAATATCGGACCAAAGAGATATAACTATCTAAAATTTATTTTTTTATATATTATGATTGATATAAAAGATTTGTTCTTATATGTAATATATATAATAGTACTTGAAAACACAAAAACATAAGTTTGTTTGATTTTTTATGGTTCATTTGCTGATACTAGAATCCATCGGTCATCGGCGTTTACTCATTACATTAATAATTTAGCATGTTTTGAAAATATGTATATATGACATGAAATATCTGAAATTATAACCAAAATTCCAAGGAGAAACTCATATCTAATTTTATTATGTATATTTATTTTTATAATATTTTAAATTACAATTTCAATACCTGATAATGTGATGTTGATATCATTACTACTAGTTAATCAAAACTTAATCTTTATATTGAGGCAATATCCGTGAAAAAGTATCCTTACTTGGACACCTTACCGCTACTTACAAATTCCAATACACGACTATATCTCGTAAAATTAAATAGTATCAAGTTTTATGAGGTCCCCAAATGAAATGAAGACTAATCAAGCCCTAAAATCGATTCTTGCGCCTTTAACAGGAAATTAAAACATTCAAAGGAGCCCGAGCTGTGAGGGAAAAAGTTTTAATCAACTTTCTAAATGAAATGATAGAATTTCTTGTATCAAATCGATATTCCGATTGTGCACGTGGGCTAAATTAACATTTACATTCAAAACGAATTCATAATGGTTGTATATAGGCTTTTCATTTATTTGACAATGTTATATATATATATATATATATATATATATATATATATATATATATATATACAAACCTATTATGAAACTAATATGAAATGAAACTATTGTTTCAAATTGTGAACACTGTATGTTTAATTCGTGGACTTGTTCAGTATCAAAAAATGTTTTCCTTCTGGTTTATTAAATTAATAATCTTTCTTCCATTTTCAATTTGCAACTTTTATTTGTTCTGTTTTATCTGGACTAATTAGACAACTTTTTTGAGTGAGACACAAATGGAATTAACAAACAGAACAGAAACAATGCGGAGAGAAACAATTCAAAGTTTCAGAAAATTTCATCTAAATTCAAGCTTTTTATGATGAGATATAATTATTTGACTATAAACTTGCTTATCTCTATTTAGTTTCATATACAACTATAAACCTGCAAATTTAAAAACGAAAGAAAATTTGAAAGATGGTTTAATTAACTATTTGTTTTTTTTTATTTCTCATATACAATGATTCAATGTCTTCACAGATTTTGTTCGCAAAATAAATATCATCTTCTTTTTCTAATCAAAATTATTAATCAGTTCTAATTTTAATTAATACATCGGCAGCAAAAATTATCAATTTGCATTGACTAGTGTGCAAGGTTCTCAATTATTTATTTGCATAACAATTAATGTTACTCGCATATTTGCCACTTCATTTGCAATAAAGATTTTGTAGAAATGTTTCTTTTTGCGATATTTGTATTTCTTCATCGTTTGTAAATTTTATAGCATATTTTATTAACGCATTTAAAAATAGAATTTGTCCACCATTATTTTACTATATGTCTTGAGCTATGCACTTTACTAATTTTATGCTGAAGCTGAGCTTACAGTATAATATGTATAAAATATTAAACGAATTTTTAATTTTCGTAACAAAATATTAGTATCCACTTTTATCATCCTGACTTTAGCAAGGTTATGTGGTTCTTGATTATAAAAAACAATAGATTTACATAATTCATGGGTTACATTATTATTTTTGTATTTTTTTTTACTTTAAATTATGATTGTATTAAGTTATACTCACAACATTGTTTGTTCCACATTTACCTATATGTTCTATATGGCACGTGATATAGTTAGCTCTAGTAAAATACATGCTAGAAAATTCAAACTTCATAGCTTCTTTATATACTTTTTCTATGTGACTACTATAACATGTTATTATTACCTTATATACTGGTAGACGAAACTTCAGCAAATATACCATATAAAATTTATTTTGAACAACATGACGGAGAAAAGCGGTCGGCAAAATAAAGTGGTCTTGTAATGCTTATAGAATTTCATTAAAGTCCCATAGAATAAATCGAAAATAAAAAATAGAAATGTCCTGATATGTCTCGAAGAGTTCTTATCATTTTGGAATTAAAAAGTACGTGTGTAGTGGAGATGTAGCACTTATATAAGTATGCATGCCTAAAATTAATAACTCTGAGTTGATTGATCGAAATTCTTGGAAATGAATTAATTCAATTATTCAGAAATAGAAACTCTCGATTGTCATTGTTTATGCGTGTAGAAAAAGTAAGGGTTTTACTAAAGTTTGAGTTCCAAATAATTAAAAGTGTAAAGTTTGGTCAACAAATAACTGTGAGTAAATATTCCGACAATTCGAGTGAAAATTCCAAATTTTGTAGAAAAATTCATATCTACACTCGGTTTCTAATAAATTCGTCTATTTAAAATTAAAACAGTTTATAAAGTTCACATATTATACTTTTTTTATCTCTCGATAAAATTCGATGCATTCACCTGAACTTTGAAATATTTGTCTAGAGTTAATCTCATTTGTCTTTAATATGTATATTAAATGTTATTAAATTAAATGTTAACAATAATGTATAATAATGTTAATAAATCTTTGACACCAATATTTAATCAAATATTGGTGTCGAAACGACTAGACTTTTTTTTCAAAACTATCGTCTATTCACTTTTTATTTCTGTGAGCTATTGTGCTCATAAAATTTTCAAAGGATAACGTGTAGGGCTATTTTCTGAAGGGCATTGCTGCATCTAATTGAATAATATATCAGCCCTAATATATAAATTTTAATAATAAAATAATCAAAATATGGATAGGTTAACCATTGGGATACCAAATTATTAGTATTTTTTTTAATTGTAATTATTCAAATCGGTTGATCCATGCTTTCGAAATCAGAGATGAAAATGAGTATCCTATTACATACATACATTCATACACACACACATACATACATTTTTTGTTAGGTATGATAAAATGTTCAGAAACCTTTGAAAGGTAAAGATATGAAAAAAGAGTGCGCGTAAAGTTCACACGCATTTGAAGTAAAACGTTTTTGTTATCACAGGATGGCATTTCAATTGTAAATAAATACATCATATAACAATTTTGAATAATGTTTATTAGCAATATGGTAACACTCGTGATGCACACATTTATAGTGCCAACCATTATACGCATTTATATAATAATAAATTATAAATTAACAATTTATAATAGCATTAAAAATATGTATATTATTTGAAAACAATCATGTAATAATTGTGTTCGAAAAACTTCGTGTAATTGAAATTAACATACATTTATTGACTGGTTGATTTTTAACTTCCCGTAGGGTAAGTTATTGTAATGGGCCGAAAATCGGAATTGAAATTTTTTACATTTCTCGACGTTTTGAAGGTTTCTGAACATTTTGGCATACTTCAGAAAAAATGGATGTGTGTGTGTGTGTGTATGTATGTATGGATACAAATTTTCGCCCACGTTTTCGGGTGTACGGATCAACCGATTTGAATGGTTCAAAAAACATTCGATTTCTATCGATAGGGAAAAGAGCTGATTAGTTTTTGGAAAAAGCAGGTCCAGCCGTTTCGAGGATACGGAGCAAAGAGTGCAGAAAATAAAAATCGACTTTTTGAGAGAACGGAGTATCCGATTTGAATGATCTAAAAAACATTCAATTAGGAATGATTGGGAGAAGTGTTTATTAGATTTTGGCAATAGCAGGCCCAGCCATTTCGAAGATACAAAGCTAAATATGTAAAAAATGGCAGTTTTTGAGAGAACTAAGCGTCCGATTTGAATGATTCAAAGAACTTTCTGCTTGTCTTAACAAAATAATTGATTCTGCAAAAAAATTTTTGTTTCAATTTTTTTTTTTTTTTTTTTAATTTTTTGTGTATCGAAAATAATTCAGATTTTATTTTCAATTCTGACTATAGTTCTAATATACTTTAAACAAGTAATTTCAACTTTGCAATTCAGTTTATATAATTCTTATAAATGTTAGACAATGTTACAATATTTATAATAATCTATTTGAAAACATTCAGTATTCTTCGAACATTTCGTTACGGTACGGGAAGTTCTAGCAATTTGCCTTAAGGCACGATGCCACCCACCCTACTAGGTTTTTTACTTCTTCGCTAGCGATATAATCTCATTCTTTGAGCAGCTATAAAATCTGTCTTGCTTAAAATATTTTTCATTTTAATAACTTCAAAGATTTATAAAAGCTATGAATAATATAGAAATTATTTCAATAAACTTACGTTTAGCACACGGCACAAATGTTTCATTTGTTTTATTATTTTCATTTTAATTATTTACGGGAAACAGGCTAAAATATTTTTCTGATTCATAAAACATTTTTCATTAAATCAAGATTTGTGCTACGATGTAATTTTAAAATGTTTATTTATCTATGTCGATTTCCTTGTTGATATCGGTACGCATACAATGTTGATGCCGGTACGCATAGAACGACAGATCTCTATTCACACGACGGCGTAACGCAATTTCCGTAGCATTCTCACAGTTTTACACCATGGTTGCGCCTAAAGAAGTTTTACTTCATAAAATCATTTTCCAGTTTCTTCAATTATAGATAATTTTAAGTAATTTGTTTCTAACAAAAATTATCTTTCTAGGTAAAAATGGCTCAGGGGCATCTGAAACGAAACATTGGCAAGACATGATCACGAAACCTCGACAAACCATCGTTCAATGGCACAGGTTAAAGCCCGAATAAGTTAAGATTACTTTAAAAATACGAAATCACATATGTATGTTCGAGGGTCAGCACGAATTTATATTTTTGAGAAATTTTGGGTATGTAATATAATAATCCTAATCCTATTTATAATACTATAGTTATGTTTTAAACTATTTATTATCTTTATTCTATACTAATACTAATTTTCGTTATTCTAGACTAACACTAATTTTGGTTTGGGTTATTGAGGACTGATTGTGCAAATACAAATTTAATAATAGTCATTTTTTTATTATACTATAAAATTCGTATAGACTTTCATTAATTTTTGATATAATATACAATATATTAGTGCAAAATCCATCGATTAACACTTTTTTTATTGCATATATATTAGAATTAACTAGAATTAACAATTTGAAGTATAAATTACACTAAAATAATTTATGTTAAAAAGAAACTTCTATTACATCGAAGTATCAGTACTCAATGGATCAAAGAATTATTTTTAGTACTAAATACAAGTAGTTACATTATTTCTGTTTGTATTTAATTAAAATTGTTTTTGTGCAATCAGCCCTCACTAAGTTATTGATTTCCATGCACTTTTATAATAGAATTAATTAAACGAAGTGAATTCAAGTTCAATACTTCTAATCAAATTAACCTTGCGTCATGTTCAATTTGTACTGAGAAACATTGATAGATTTTTCAATATTATTTACTTTTTTATTATAAATTTTGATAAGGTGCAAAGGCTTTCAGAATAGATTATTATTTGATAATATAATTTTTTATAAAATAATGAATTTTAGCGAAGCGATATACTATTTTATAAACATAATACAAAATATAAATATATTAGTATATATGATAGTTTAGAAATTTACTGAAACTTATCTTGAATGCAAGCTGAATTCAACACAATTCAAAATATTTTTGTTTATTTGAAATTAAAACATAATCACAAATTTGGACAAGGATTGGAAATTATAAAGTCGTCATTTATAAATCGATTAACGATCTATCCTAGTCAAACATCCACAAAATATATAATTAGCTATATAAATTTATTTTGAGTTATTTTTTTTTTAATTTTATTTTTAGAAATTTAACGAGCCAAACACAAATAACAAGTTGTTATTAATCAATATTCGATATTAGAAAATATTATTGAACGTTGCAAATCACTATTAAATACATTTTTTATATTTTTCTTCGGTATATTCGGCATATTCAATATTGTATTGATTTTCCATTTTAAACTCTGGCTGTGAGTTTTTAAATTTCATTATTCTCACAAAAGAAAATTATATTTTCCGTAATTTTTCATAAAAAAATTTCATATCAGATTATTACTCAAATATAATATTATATCAGAAATATAATAATATTCACATATACAAGTAGCCATCAATCCAGCAGAAAAGGCTGGATCACACAGAATTTATTATACATAAATTTCTTTAGGTTTTTAAAGTATTAATGGATTTATATTTGAATATTGAAATTTTGAATAATTTTTAGTTGAATTTCAACTATGAATTATGCAAAATTTTAATATCCAAATATAAATAATCAGACGGACTTAAAATTTTATGGAGACATTAAAAACGTTTCATATGTGTTGCACGAGCATTTAATTATTTCATGACGGCTAGATTTGTGACAATTTTTTAATCAAAATTAAAAGCTAACTATATATCGAATGTGATTAGTTTTTTTAAAGTTGTCGTTGAGAACTAAGGCATTTGTTATATATTTGCAATTTATCTTTTTTTATATTTTATTTGTTATACTTTTATTTATTTATGAATTTTTTGAATAATCAAATACAATATAAGAATATTTACCAAATATCAAAAAGACAAAACAATGTTTAAAACAAATGCATGGTTAATCATAATCCTAGCGCACCTGATATATATTTTTTTCAATGAACTTTTAATCAGATCTTTGTATATAAATATATTAAAATTATATATTATATTTATATAAGTATATATAGAAACATAAATATATACATTAAAGCGTGTATACATAGTATACATCTACATAATATATGAATGATGAAAACGTAATTCTAAAATATTTGTGAAAACAGTTTTATATGTCATTTAAAAAGACTATAAAAATTAAAAATCGTTGACAGTATTATTATATTAGATTTTTAGGCTTGATAATTGTATTAATTAATATTATCATAAAATTATTATAAAAATAAGAAAATATTAATGTTATATATGAAAAGTAATAAAAATTTGTATCGACATTAGAAATAATGAATGCTTCAAATATACGCCTTGATATATTTTCTGTGTAGAGACTAATAGAAAGTCATATGTGAGCTATAGACGAATATAAAACTAAAGATTTAAGGTACATTACTATTTGCAACTAAAATAAAACTAATATTTATGATTTCGAATTTGTGATAAATTAAATTAATGTTGTATAATGACATTTTGCTATAGAATTGTTATGCATTTTACATCATTCGTGTAATGACATGAAAAGCTTCGTCAAAATCTTTAGTGTTATATTATGAATTACATAAACAATTGCTCTGATGGATCGCTAACTTTTCAAATACGAGATTTATATGTAGATATGATATCAAGAATTTTTTATAGCTTTTGCTGTTATGTTATTGAAAAAGTTGATTGGGCGAATTTGTGAGAGTTTAGTAATTTATACTGATCCCATATGGTAAATTTATACTTTATACTTTACTATTCATACTTTAAATATGAAATAGTATATATTATTGTAATGTAATAATTTTGAGTCTATAGATTTCATAAGAAGTTTATAGTCTATTTATCAATTTATTAATGATTTTATAACTGTATATCAATTTATTATGTATTTTATAACTCATGAGCTTTAAGGTGAGTGAATATTGCAGAACTATGATTTGCCTACTATTTCATATTTAAAATTATTAGATTTTTAATTCTATGGGAGCTCTAATACAAAAAACAGTTGGTATCAAAATTCGTGCGTTTTAGAACAGATAACATTTTTCTCAGGATTTATTTGATATTTCTCATAAATTCATAACATTTGTAATACCACAGTTAATAACATATTTCTATTGTTAGTTTTGTATCGAAACAAATCTAGAATCAAATTTTTTTTTTTTTTGCACTAAAGTATTCAAATTAGAAACACATGATGATGACAAAACTTCGCAACTTCGAGGAAATTTGAGGGCTATATTACATTACATTATTTTTAACTTGGTGATGCACATGAGGCATCATTCTGCAATAAAATATACCAATGTTAACCTAAGTCGCGCTACTTTTTTCATATAAAATGGTACTAACAACTGTCAAAATACTATGTATTTGCTGTGCTGTCAGGCGTTTTACACATGAAATCTAACTTTTCAGATGTGTTATTATGACACATCAGAAAGATGCACTCATGGGTAATTTTTTGGACTCGTGCATTTTTTAGGTTAGGTTTTATATCGAGAACGCCTGATTGCGCAGCAAATACATACATTTTTACTGTTTTTAGTACCATTATATATGATAAAAAGTACGTAACAAATCGTTGTCACAACAATGATATCTATTTTATCTAAGAATTTGCCACTTTTACTGTGTATATTTCCATTATTTAGAACGTTATTGTGCTTAACTTTTTAACATAAATCAAAGTATTTTATATGCTTAGTTATAACAATACTTCATTATTAAAATATTTTTGTTTTGTCAATTTTGTAAAGCTTTTACCAGCAAACGATGATAAAACTTATTCAATGCGTATAATATAAAGATTTTCGTAATAAAATGTATCAAACGAAATATCAAATGGAAATCTTGCTATCAATTTTTTTTGGGTTTGCGGATTTATTTATTTTAAACGCTTTGGGTGACCTTGAATTTAATATTACTTTTTTACAACTTTACAACTTATATTACTTTCAACTCATGATTAGTTTATATCTTCATCAAGATTAAATAAATAGATTTCTTCAATAGACTAATAATAAGTTTAATTACAATGATACGTTCTATTAAACTGAATATTACTGATTTAATAAACCATATCTTGTGCAATTTCACACACATATTACAGAAAATACCTAATATCAATACAAAGAAATTACCTTAATGTATAATAATAGGCAAAAAGTTTTAGTGACTAGAAAGTATGAAAGATGGGTAATAATACTAAATGTTTATTGTCTATCATAATGGTTAACGTACTAAAATGTACCTTAATCAAATAGATTAATATAAATTACTATTAAATAGTAACAAACGAGTTGCATTGTCATAATCTTTTGAAGAATAAAGTGTATGTGGGCTCATACGCACTAGTGAAAAAATTGTGCGACTATATAAGTGTGCGCTGCCTTGTCTGGGCAGGGTTGTGAGTTTAAGCCCGCGCTCTGGACAACCTGATATAGTGCAGTAGCGATGTTCATTTACACTTGAAATATAGATCAAAAATGTGTACTGTAAAACGGACACTGCGGTGTGAAATGGCAATCGGTAATTCCTCACACTATTCTTTCCTGAATCGAGTTTTAGCTCACGAACCTGGCCTAGGGCAATGCATACATATATTTGTATATTTGTATATATATATATATATATATATATGTGTGTGTGTGATTGTGTTTGTATTTATATAACCGTAAAATTGTATAATGCAACGATAATTATAAATGGATATAGCCTAGTCTGTCATTTTGTAATCGCACAACATTTTAAATGCTATAGTTGTAAGTCGTCATTAATATCACTGCATTCATATTATAATAATGTATAATCAGATACATATATATGTATATATATTAGGGTGGTCCTTAAAATGGTCATTTTCGAATTTCCTTGCTCCCAGGGCCTCAAATGGTTCCAAATTGATAAAAAACAATTCTCTGAAAGTTTTAGCTCTTAATATTAACGTTTAGATAGAGCGCAATTCAATCAAAGTTTTGTATGGATATAGCATGGAAAAAATTTTGAAAATTAAAAAAAAATGTTTTAGGTATAACTTGGCGGCAATTGAATGAGTTTTATTCATTCATTTGTTCGCTAAATTACATCTAAAAACATTTTTAAATTTTTTGAAAAATTTTCCATGCTATTTTCATACAAAACTTTGATTGAATTGCGCTCTATCTAAACGTTAATATTAAGAGCTAACACTTTCAGAGAATTGTTTTTTATCAATTTGGAACCATTTGAGCCCCTGGGAGCAAAAAAATTTGAAAATGAAAATTTTAAGGACCACCCTAATATATATATATATATATATATATATATATATATATAAATATGTATATATATATATATATAATGGTTCAAACATAGTTAAAGGAAAGTATCTTAAAGAAAGCTTTAAAATGCTATTAAACTTATTATTTTCATAAACGTTGAAATTTCTATTAAAAACTATCTAAAACTGATTTACTGATTTACTGATTTACTGATAATTTTTTTTTTTTTGAAAGTAATGTACACAAATATATTTACATTGCTAAAGATAATCATTTGTCTAAGTTGCCAAATGAATTATTGCGTTTTGAGAAATTTACATTCGATAATATATTTGTAGATTTATCATCAAATATCTACTTCGTCGGTTTTTAATAAATACGTTTACGTTTATCAGAAATAGATATAAAGTTGTATATAAATTTGGAAAGGTGAAACATTTTTTGGTTATCTTATACGACTGATAAATCGCAAAGCAAATTTTGTTGGAACAATTTTATTAACTTCCCGAAAGAGAAGTTTATGTTTTTACTATTGGAAAGTTGGCATTTTATTTTATTGACTATTTCTCATAATATAAGTAATTGCTGTTACAAGTAATAAACGTTACTGCGATATTATCATCGTACTTAGATATCAAATGCATCTGGAAAAATTGTTTAGTATGAATTTTTTTATTCATAATCGTAAAATTTGTCGATTGATCATTAACCAGACTTAACCATACTTAACCATTAACATACAAATATAACAAAAATAACATGTTTTCTATACATATATATATATATATATATATATATATATAACAAAGGTTTTTAGCAGGATTTCATCCAATTAATGGAACGAGGGTAAAATTAAATAGTGATACACGTTTTAAGTTCAATTTTAATTTTCTGCATTGGATATAACACACAAATAATTTTAAAAAGTACACAAAAACGTGACATTCAGTTAATTTTAGTTTTTTTATATGATATACTTTAATTCGAAATGTTAAAGTCTTTAATGTCATCATGCCTTGTATGAATATGAATCAAATTTAATTAAATCTGGATGACTTATTATTACATTTAACCATATTTAAGTTGATTGAATGATTGCCTGGTGCAAAATTATATATATACCTGACTATATTAACAAAAGCTTAGTTTATCTTTAGTGTAAAAACTCATATAAATATCGTATCAATGAAACGCCTTTTATATATATGGAAATTAAAAAAATAAAAAAGAATGCGAATAATAAGTTAGATTAAGTATTTCAGTGTTAAAATTAGCCAATGTGCATACTGAACGCTGACCTTAATCTTTTAGTTGTTTACTGCATAGTAGGCGAATAAAAGTGAATAAGATTTGCTAGAAATTATATTAAGCTTATTATTTCTATTATGACAATTATGGGACAAGTAAATGTACGACATATATTAGCATGTTGTACAATTACTACAAGACGAGGAAATGTACCACATATTTTTACATATGGTACAATTACCCAAAAAAATTAATTAGGTGCAGAATTGTTTTCATAAGGTTTTTATTTTGAAGCGACTAATTTAGCAGCGGTGTTCAGAACCTGAAAATTTCGGTTTATTATCAATTTTATATGAATCCATAAAGTTTAATAATATTAATCCAATCCATTTTTTTGGAATGTTGTTTGAAAATAAAATTCATTGAAATATGTGTTGTTTTTACAAATACGCATATAATATCAAATAAGTACATATTTAAATAAACCCTAACTAATTGTAAAAGTTACGTATATGTATACAAATATATATATATATATATATATATATATATATATATATATATAATTATGAATATCTATCGAATCATATAACTTCAACATATTATGGATTAATTAAATTTACGATTAATTAAATCGAACACAAATCATATATTTTTATTAAATCTGAAATTCGATAATTATTTTTCGAAGTATATTTGAATCATGTCGTTAGTTTTTTGAATGATACTGAATTATTTGAATATTTAGAAAATTATTGAGTAGTTATAATGTGTTGAGCGCTGTAGGTTTATATACCTACCCTGTGATGTGCTTTCTGATAAATATTATTATGTTTAGATTGAACAAAGAATTATAAAAATGTTATTTTAAAGTATATGTGTTTTCGATTTAGGCTTTAAGTTTGCAAGATTATATATATATATATATATATATATATATAATCTGTATGTAATTATCTATATAGTTATAAAAATATAAATAATTATATTTATTTTTATTAGGATAAAGTTGTTGATGTACATAAGTGTTAGCAAATTAAGTTAGTCAAAATATATTGTAGTACTATAACACATTCTTATATAAGCGACAGGACATACTTATATAAGTGTATATATACATATATATATATATATATATATATATATATTTATATTTATATATATATATATATATATATATATTTGTAAAAGTATGCATTATAACATAAAACAATATATTTAAAATAAAAATATTATATTAACTCCTTCTACGGTTGAGGGTTTTATTTAACATTATTTGAGCTTATTTAACTATTTGTTATTGGTGCATGTTTTTGGGCATAGTATATTTTATAAGTTACGAATTTATCCGTACAATGCCCTATTTTATTTAAGTATTCTTTATAATTCTAGTAGTTGTTTTCTTCTGTATGTTTTATGTTCAACTTTCTTTATGTTTATATGATTAGGTATAAAGAACCTGGGACGATCAGATATGTTAATTTTATCAAAAATGTATTTGTTATTTTTGTTTATAATGATTTTTAATATTTTGAATAGAGACAATACTGAAGCAGTTAGGAAGATTGGATGAAACCTAGATATCTGCTTTTGTTTTATAGAATGGATTCAAGTAGGCCAAAGAAAGCTATTTTAGGAAATTTTGAAGATTGATTTCAGAAATATTGGATTGCCAAACCTACATATAGGGCAAAAGATTAATACATGATTTTACCTAGGTAATACAAACCGTAAGAAATCAATATTGCACCAAGAGGAAGAAGAATCCCCTTAAGGTATGTTGATGACCTTGTGGTTTTATAGAAGACTAATTTTCAATCGCATGTTATGATAGTCTAAAGAGTTAATTTGTAATTTATAAGTTATGGCAAATCAAAACTGATGAATGTATCCAAAAGTAACTATTTGAATGTCTTCACTTATTGGGTATGTATATTTGTGTATTGGGCATGTGCATTTATTTACATTTAGTCCTGATAATATAGCTCATAAAATTTTAAACTTTCTCAAAATATATTGATATCTTTAACGGTTAAAGTTATTGCTAGTAGAAGTAAACAGCACGATTTTAAGCTATCACTTAATATTAAACTTTAGCTAATATTTCATAATTCCTTAAAGCTTTCCATCATACATAAGTTTATGGATTATAGTCGACAATTAGTAGAATCATTTTGATAAACTTTTAAAAATCTGAACTGTTCAAAAACTAATACACCAAATGAGTATCAAAATATTTATTTGATGTTATTAAAAGGAAACAAATTTGTCATAATTAACAGTTAAAAACTTTATTTTTGGTATTTTATGAATTACTTATGACATCTTATTTTTTGGAATTTTATAAACTATTTACTAGGTCTCATTTTTTGGAATTTCATACATTATTTACTAGATCTATTATTTATCAAGATTTCACGTTTAAAACTGTTTTTAGAATTCAAAAAGGTCCCAACATTTGTCAAAATTCAAAATACCAGTTATCTTTAAGTTGTTGTGAAAAAGATTTTTTCTGAAAAGTAACTTGTTCACTACTTGCTATTTACTATATGAAAATTTTGCTGAAAACCTATAAAAAATAACATGAAATAGAGCTCTGTAATAAAACGCACATTCAAATTTTTATTATGATTTATTACAGAAAAATATACATATAAAAACGTATAGTGATCAAAATAATCAAATCGTAAGAAATATTAGAAAAAAATTAAAAAATTAAAAATTAAACCGTGTACTGAAACTTCATTATTTAAATTTAATCACAGCATATTTTTTAAACAAAACATAGTAGCATATAATATAAAAAATACATTTATATAACACATTAAGTTTAAAAAATAAAAGAAAGCAAACTACAAAACAAAGTTTAAATTTTTCAAAATCAAAAACCGTAGAATAAGTATCAATTATAAGAATTTTTTTATTGCTTTTTTAATATTTTTATATAACTTACATGTAATAATACATTTCTTTATCATAGAAACTTTTTATACATGCTATTATTATCTATATGTAAAAGATTGTGCAAAAATATTTGAGTAAATTTTCAAATCAAAATAATACGAAACTTATAATCAAGCGGTTAATGTAATTTTTTTTTTTGTTCTTTTTCGACATTATTATCTTAACTGTTTTTAAGACTTAGTTTGTGTTTCTCAATCTCCAAAATAATTTATCACCATGAAATATCTCTTATCATATATTTTTAAACTTAATTCTATAGGTACAGTTGATTATGATCCAATTTGGTTTATGAATAGCATCACTCCAAAGGAAATTTTAGCTGTTTTCATGATATTGCATTTGTTTTTATCTTCTATTTTGGTGGTGGAATGTTTCTTATATGATGAGTTTTTTTTTATCTAAACTTAAATAAATGTTTTAAAAATTCAGATATATTTAAGAGACTTAAGCCTTGGTGGTTGTTGAGTCAGCGGCCTCTTCTTGGGGTTTTGGCAACTCTGGGTATTCGAGTTTAGCACCATCTTCACATACGAATTTGGGGCAGCATCCAGGGAATGGGGCGGTTTTGTTGGTCTTTTCTGTAAATCATTGGCTATGATTAGTGAAACTTCATCGGATAAAAAAATTATATATATATATATATATTATATATATATATATATATTAGGGTGGTCCTTAAAATGGTCATTTTCGAATTTCTTTGCTCCCAGGGGCTCAAATGGTTCCAAATAGATAAAAAACAATTCTCTGAAAGTTTTAGCTCTTAATATTAACGTTTAGATAGAGCGCAATTCGATCAAAGTTTGTATGGAAAGAGCATGAAAAAAATTTTGAAAATTTAAAAAAAATGTTTTAGGTATAACTTAGTGACAAATGAATGAGTTTTATTCATTCATTTGTTCGCTAAATTACATCTAAAAAACATTTTTAAAATTTTTGAAAATTTTTCCATGCTATTTCCATACAAAACTTTGATTGAATTGCGCTCTATCTAAACGTTAATATTAAGAGCTAAAACTTTCAGAGAATTATTTTTTATCTATTTGGAACCATTTGAGCCCCTGGGAGCAAGGAAATTCGAAAATGACCATTTTAAGGACCACCCTAATATATATATATATATATATACAATATATAATATGTATGCAATATTAGCATAGGTTAATATACTACAAAGTTTGACGAAAAATTATAAAATTTTAGGTTTCACTAAATTGTACAGAACTTCAATAAATTTGAATAAAATATATCTAGCATGTCGAGTAAATAAATAGCATAAAAATCAAGTTGAAAATTACCGATAACTTGTTATTTATTTTATTGTATTATACAATTTTCTAAATATTTTTCAACTTAAACTCAATCTTATAATTTATCGTCAAACTTTGCGTTACATTTTTGAACATATATCTTTTCATAAAAGAAACAAAAGTATTTTGTAAAACTTATTCGGTTATTCCACATATAGAGCACAATGATAAAATAGGATATATAAAAGCTCTTTGGAATCAGTGAAATATTTTAAGTATATAAACTGTTTTGAAAAATAATGTAATAAATCAATGTTTCGAAAAACTTTGTACCAAATTATAGCACTTTTCAATTGATGTAGATATCTAGCAATGCACTTTTGAGTTGTGATTTTTATTGGCTTATACAGCAATCAAAAAATCGTTTAATTAAAAAAAAAAATAAAAACAATTAAAAATTAATGAAATTAAAAATTTAAAAAATGCAGATTTTTTGAAAATCATGTTACAGAGCTATCAAGTTCTATGTTTTACATCTATCTATCTGACTAGCCACGTAAAATGGGTCAAAATACTTACTAATTTCGTAAATTTTTTTTGTTGTTAATTCTTCAATCATTATATTTTTTTTTCTTACCAGTGTCCAGTTTGCACTTGGGGTTGGCCAAAGGCAATGGTCCGCAGTCTTCAACCAATTCGAGTAGAGCAGGGCTTTCTTCGGTTACGACGCAGGTGGATTTGCCGCAGAATGGTGCCAAGTCCCAGGACTTGCCGGGCTCAACGGTGGCGCAACGGGTGCTGGCGAAGCACATGCCGGGGAAATCTGCAAGGGTAAAGGTAGGAATAGTTAATAATTTTTATTTTTATTTTTTTATTACATTTTTCTATTTTGATCGATAATTTGGGTACATCAAATTACTAACTAAAAGTAATAAAATTATGAATAGAATACTGCAACTTCAAGTGGTATTATGCCTTGATTCAAGTTACATGAACTTCCCGATATGTGTAAACAATCGAATTAATCAATAATAAACAAAATAATTTATGAATGATTTATGAGTATTCCAAGTGGATTTATTGCTCATTATTAAAAATCGAACACGTGTCTAATACAAATAAGTGTTTTCTAAAATCAAGTGTTCAAAACTCTATAGTTTTTTATAATTGTACTAGTTTCCGTATGATTTATAATGATTTAGTAAGTTTATTAAGACCAGGTACTATATCGCCAAACCAAGTAAAATGTCTAATTTTAACAAACGTATTTTTCAAATTTTGATAAATTTTTTAAGTTGACTTGTTGTACGATCATAATATTTTATTATGGTCTTTAAGACCATGATATCTACCGTCAACGAAAGTTTCATAAAAATCGTCAAAAAAATTTTTTTTTACAAGAAAACGGCTTGGTCGATCTTTACCTATGTAAAACTAATCAGCATCATTCCCAACCAATATCTTTCGACCAATTTTTGATTTTTTGCAAATTACAAAGAAACGGCTCGACCGATCGTCGCGCAAAACTGACAAACGATGGTCCTCGTCAAGATACATCGGATGGCATTTAAATTTTAAAAATAGATCTAGCCGTTTTTTGAAAACGTCGATTTACGTTAAAAAAATCTGTTTACGCATACGCACATACACATACTTTTTCCAAATTTGGTCTCATTCGATTCAGAATGACTTGAAACGTCGAGAAAACATAAAATTAACCAGTCGGATTTTTTCATGAAAACATAAATTTCTCCTTAGGAAAGTTAATAATGACTTGCGAAATCGTCTATAAATTATTTTGTTCTGCCAATTTGCCTTAGATGGTAATTATAAAAGTGTATTATTTAGTAAATAACATTTTACGGATCAGAAATGCACTTGGCGTTTACTCAAATGATAATATCGAGATAATTGTCGCCTTTTATTATTTTAAATATTTTTCAAAACTGGTTATAATTATTTCATTAATTCATTTTTCGAAATGATACGCAAACCACTAATCTTTATGTAACATTATAACTATGCCTAAAAACCGTTATACCGTCTAATTTTTCGGCAGTCTTAACACGGGTATTCACCTTAAAAGTATCGGTATTTTTGATATCGAAACATAAGCGTTAATTGATACAAGCCACTTGATTTTCAATTTCTGGGAACCATTTAAATTGTAAATCCCATTATCGCTAGAAACAAATGTCTCTTTAGGTCATTCTTTTGTCTGAACAAGTTTCAAATTATTATCTCGAATAGTCAAAGGGCTTCATATCGTGCCTCAACACTTTAGACTAATATTTGTTATTCAAACTATTGATCATTAAAAACTAATTAATATTTAAAACAAATTTTTATTTTTTTATTTTATTATCATCCTAAATAGGTTCATAAATTTTATTGCTTAATAAACAATGTTATTAAGCAATTTTTAAGCACTTCACATTTTATAATAGTAATGGAGAGTCATATTAATATCGTTTACTTTTCGTCATCAACAATCTCAATTGTTACAATAAAAATTACATAATAAAATCAGTTAATAAAAAAGCGTAATTAAACATAGCTTACGTACCGCAACTGTGAAACAATTCGAATTGAGCAATAAAATTTTAGTGTTTCTACTATTCACATTCTGATTAAATCTGCATTTAATTCCGCAGTTTAAGGCTTTGCAAAATCCTCATTAAACTACTTTAGATAAATTGCGATAAAAAGCGAATTTGATTGCGCCGATGGTGACATAACAAAGATAATGAACGATAAGTTTGGAAAGTTTTGTAATAAATATTATTACATAAAATTTCAGAGGGTAATAAAATATTGACATTTAAAAATATATGTCAGAGAAGATATTAACACGCTGTGATTATATAAGTAAATGTTCGTGTACTAAGTATGGAAATAGTTCCGTACCCAACTTGCAAATACAAATATAAACGTTTTTGGACATAAAACAGGTATATTAGAAATGTCACAAGTTTTATGTATAATATTTGAAAAATCTTTTCAAATGGAATATTAAAGACAAATAATTGTATCTCTATATAGACACATATCTATGAACTTAAACATACTCATATGATTAATGTGATTTATATCTTTTACCAAAATGATCCAACAGATTGACATATATAAATATGAAAAAAAAATTCTAAAATAATTGAGTGTGTCATTGTTATTAAATTTTATTCAAAATTTCACTATTATTGCCAATTGCATATTTGCATGTATGTAGTTGCTTTGTTGTATTTCTTATAATTTGTCACAAATTTCACATTTCACAGTTTATATTTTTAGCCATTTTCCTATATTTTTGAACAAACACGACATTTTTAATTAATTTGCATTTGCAGTACGAGAAGTTTTTGTCAATTTACAATATTTTCGGGTAGTTTTCAACATTTTTCACATACCAATATTGACAAATTTGTCAAATATTAAAATTGAAAAACGTATTATTGAAAATACTCATTTATTGTTTCGAATTCTATGTATATTAGGATTTGAATTGTATTTTTGTGTGATTATGATCATTGAAAGTAGGTCAGTTTGCATTATTGTAGACATGACAATTGTTACAAATATTGAAATGATTTTTATTCATTTTTAACCATCCATATATAAACAAATATATATATATATATATAAATATATATATATATATAAACTATAAAAAAATTGAACAGCTTAAACTACATTAAAACTATACCTCTTAATAATATGAATAGAAGGAAATAGTGCAAATTAGGGTTTATACAATAACCAACATTTTAGAAAACCAGTAATCAAATAGTATTTTCTTCCAAAAAACAGATTTAACCGGGTTTCGAGTTTTCATAAAAAAATATTAGCTCGAAAAAACAACGAACACAAAATTTCGAGTATGAAAACAGTTTTTGACTCAAATTATTTACTGTTCTATTTCACTGATATTTTCTCATCCAGTAAAGCAAAACATATTTGAGCAGGATTAAATTACCTTAAAAAAAATTATTTGTTATTTATATCCATGATTTATATAGATAAAATTAGGGCGTAAATACTTTTACTGTTATTTACTGTTCTATTTCGATGATATTTTTTTATCCAGTAAAACAAAACATATTTGAGCAGGAATAAATTACCTTAAAAAAATTATTTGTTATTTATATCCATAATTTATATAGATAAAATGAGGGCGTCAATACTTTTATTGTTATTTACTGTTCTATTTCGCTGATATTTTTTTATCCAGTAAAACAAAACATATTTGAGCAGGATTAAATTACCTTAAAGAATTTAATTTGTTATTTATATACATAATTTCTATAGATAAAATGAGGGTGTAAATACTTTTACGAACAAACGAAGGACGAGTATCGGTTTGCAACATTGTTTTCATCCATCTGGCACCACTGGCTTCATTTGCTATTATTAATTTTTTCAATGTTATCTATACACTATAACCGATATTTTCAACTAAAAAAACAGTTTTCGAATTACATAATTTTCTCTTCCTTACTTCGCCGGTTTTAAAAACCGACAAACCTTTGCGCAAAGGGTTTTTCAACTGTAAAAGTTTGACGAGATTACAAGTTTTTATGTGAGATTTACATAGTAAAACATATTTCCATCTTTATATATATTTTTTTCCAAAGTTTGATTCATTTTGATAATATATAATAATTGTACAACACTATTCTATGTATCATACACCAGTTCGGGCTTTATTCCTCGTGCACTGGGACGTGTCTCTGTGTCTCAGGTAAGATGTATGGCCGAGTCTTATTCGCAACTCGGCGAAAGTTTCTTGCATAAAACATTTTTATTATTATTGCTAAACGGGTTTCATGACGTAAATCATTATTTCAGTTCGAATGTATTAGTACCTACTCATATTCATCATGGTAAATGTGGGTGTATGAGTCGAGTGAAATTCATCATATGGTATGGGATGAAATGAAGTAAAATTATAGAGTAATAAAATTTAAATTAATTTATTTAATAGTGCATTTTCACCTATTACAAGAAATTTTATTCACTTTTAGTTGTAAATTTATTTGGCGTTTGTCTGTTTTCGTTGTGTTTTTAAATTATAGTGACATTTATTCGTAATATTGTCTAATAATGCGTTTTAAATTAAGGTGATATTTGTTTAAACATTCGGCAATTTAATAAGTATTGTTTTATATAAGCATGCTTATTTTATATATCTTTTTAAGATATTTGATGGGTATTTGTAATTTCATTATCAAGTAATTGTAAAGATTTAATTTAAATCTAATACTTTATAAAAACCGGGACAAAAAGTGTAAATCCGGAATAAATATTGCTTTTAGAAAAACACGGGACACAAGGTGAAATCCGTGGTAATATTATACAACTTAAAAAGAAAATGAAAATTACATATTTGTATCAAATAGTACAGATGCAATACACCAATTAATACAGAACACAGAATTAAAATATTTAAATATTAAAAAAAAACATGTTCTGAAAGATTCAATTTTGTTATCATTATAAAATAATTGTTTTTCTTTAATTTCGCTCAAAAAGTAGCCCTATCTTATACAACTTACAAATATTATACTTATTTTATTATTATGTTTAGATCGTTCATTATTTTTTAATTTATTGTTTTATTTATTAATTACATATATCAAAAATATTTAAATTTCAAACCCAAGTTCTTACTAATTGCATTGCCTAAAATTTTAATAAAATATAATAAATAAGAAAATCGTTGATAGATTTATAGCTGCATTAATTCATTTCATATCTAGAAATATCCCAAAGAGCTATTGAGATAATTTATTCATATTTGTTTGTTATGATATTTATGGTAAACCA